GCTGCGTGGAACAGCTCCACCTACAAAGAAACTTTTTGACGAGGCTTTTTTAGCATTAACATTAATTTCAAACATAAGAATTTTAAAATCCAACCTATGATTCTCATTACGCGGAAAGTCAATAACACAGTGAAGAAAGATTCTAAAGTCACTAACTGTAATGCCTAGAAATATTCTTCTAGATTTCTATGATTATCATGAATTACTGTTACATACTTCGAAAGGGTCAGCAAATGAGGAACAAAACGATCTGGGTTTTCTTTTTTCCTTTTACATTTCATTTTCCAATATTTTCCGTTCCTAGAGTAAACGTTGGTTGATGTTGACGATGACTAATAAATCAACTATCGGCCAAAAACTGTCTTAGCAATGACAAATATCATCTGCCGTCTGGAGGAATGAGACAAATTTACAATACATTTTACTTCGGATGCACCAGCGTTGTCTAGCAAAGTGGTGAGAAAAATCCTATCTTCCAATCGTTTCACAGTATAATTCTAACCAGACATTATAAATAATTCAACATTAAGAATGATGCACTGTCAAAATGCATATATCACATTAACGGTGTCTGAACGTAGTCAAACATGCTGACAACAGCGACGTCACCCAAACAAATAAACCGCTGATCCATTGAAACTGAATGAATGTAATTGGGGATGAAGTGAAACAACGCACTGACAAAAATGTCGCTTCAAACTCCGTAGATGCTGGGTTCGAATCCGGAGAAGAAACGATTTCTGTCATAACCGACAACTCGCTTGAGCAAGACATGCGAACAACAACGCTACCATACAGTGTTCCGAAGTCACTTTTGTTGAAGTGGAGCGAGAGAGATACGGCTATGCTCTTTCAAGCAAGAGCCTCATAAAGCTAAAATTCGCTTTGATCCACCCTGTAGATACTTATTATTCTGATAAAGACAGAAGGTGCAATTCCTTCAGCCATTGTAAACATCGTTCAATTGTCATTTTTCTGTATATGAGCAATCTTCCTCTGTTTGAAGGGTAGATGGCACCATAAAGAAATTACGTAATCAGTTCAATGGCATATATAGGGACGGTCACCCAGATATTCACAAAATCAGTGGGCATTAGCGCGATAGGTTTAAGTGGTGCTTTGCAGTCGAGTTTGCCGGGTTTGAGTCCCACGCGCGGCGTAAAATTTTATTATGACCATTGGTTTATTCTTAAGCAACCAGCCGAAAAACTGGCATAAAGAGTCGTTGAATTGCGAACAATAGAGACAAAATCTTGTTCTGTTGTTTGATGCCAGAGCACGCCAGTTATGACCATACTCTCTGACGCGTGTACGTTGCCCACAATATGTACTGGGCCATGTGATGGCTAATGAATGGCCAGCGAGAGGTGTAAAGCGTAACTCTAAATGAAAAGGGTCGTGCGAACGGCTGCATGGCTGAAATATATAGTTTTGAGTATTTCGTCTGTGCGTTAGTGATCCTACCAAAACCTATAGAAAAACATGGTTCAATCAGTACCGATGTTTTGGGCCTTTTTAAACGTGGACAGGATTGATATCCAAAATTCGGTCTGTGGTAGGCAGCTGTTATAACAGTTAAGAGCCAATAGGCGTGCTTTTAACCCACGCTGTTGGTTAAGAGTTTTTCCAAAGAATAACAACTCTCTATGCTTAGGTTACAAATTACCGTGTAACTGCAGGAAATAGTACATAGGAGAAACAGAAAACACCGTTACACGAAGAACAAAGACCCACTTGTCAAGCTGGAAAAGAAATGTTCTCACGGACGAACGTGAGCGCCATGCGGCAACAAAGAAACCGAGAAGAAAACAGAGCCCTACCCCAAACCAGAGCAAAGAATAATGCGAAAAGGCTTCAGGAACACACAGAAGAGAAACGTTATTTTCCCAAATGGTCAGATGACCCGGGCATCATTGAAGAAAGAAGTTGACTAAACAAATGCGCCATTTAGGCTTTAACTATGCAATCTTGCGAACATGTCAACCTAAATAAAGGATACGAAGTCTCCACAGGCTAGATCAGCCATGTCAAGCCTGTGGCCAAAAAAAGCTTAGCCAGCAGCATGGGTGAGAAGCTCACTTTTGGACTCGAAACGTTACAACAACTGGGAACTACAGAACAAACAAACCACGGAACTCAACCCTGTCCACTTTGAAAAAGGCACGAAACGTTGGTACTGATTAGTTTACGCGATTAACCAATCTGCGTTATGCATGTGCAAAACCATATTTTTATACTGTATAGAGTTAATAAACAAAACATGCAACGAATAATACAATGAAGTAAAATTGTTATATTTATAACTGCGGAGCAGTAAAACAACAGAATAATGGCAGCAGTTCCCTACTAGCCTCAAAACGATCCTTGGACCATATTTAGTGAAGTATACGTATAACAATTTAAGCTCAAAATCTAGATAATCTAATAACAATGTTTTCAAAACGAACATTGTTTTAAATATCGATATCACGACTCGCGCTCAAGCCGGTATTGGCGTTCTGGTAGAACCCAACCTTGACGATAGAATAATCGATTGGAAGCCTATCAGCGGAAGGGTGGT